TGATACTAGAAAGTAATATTAAATACATTCTAACAACAGCTTATCACGCATAAACGTGCTGCTGTTGTTTATCCGCTCGTCTCCTCTTTCTAGCGCAAAGTGGGCGATAAGCAAACAAGAAAGACGGGACTTGAGGCAGAAAAGCCGATCAACTGATCATTGATCGGTTTCATGATTGAAGTAATAATAGGAAAGGAAGGGGGAGTGAATGAGAGAAGTAGATGCAACTGCACAGCAAAGACAGAATAACTCCAGCTGAAGTATGGGACAAATCGCTTCCTTTTCACCTCAATATGGAACTCCGAGGGCCAGTCCATCTGTGGCTCAGTATATCAGTTGTTAAGCTTAACGTGGAAATACTATGCAAACATTCAGGGATGAACTTACACACTTCCTTTACTTCTCTGGGATAGTTTTTGCCGAGATGAAATGCCGCGGTTAGAAAGCATGTAGTGAGGCTCCAAATGCTGCACACATCAACTAATGTTTGTGGTAAAGAGTTTGGATGTGCTTGGAAAGAGAGACTACTGTATAGCATAAAATAGCTGATCACATAAGCTCATTGTGCCACAAGAGGAGGAAAAGTCAGTTTCTGTTGGCTCGGGTGAACCTGACTCAGGCTCTCCTCGACAATTTTGTGTGTGTGTGTGTGTGTGTGTGTGTGTGTGTGTGTGTGTGTGTGTGTGTAGGAGCACGAGAAAATGGAGAAGTACCAGAAGCCAGAGGAACAGCTGGAGCAGATGTGCAAGGTAAAGTCCAAAGTGGTAATAGGAGCATTAGGACCTGTGACTTGGAAACTGGAAGAGTGGCTTTAGCAGATTCCAGGCACAACATCTGAGGTCTCAGTCCAGAAGACTGCAGTCCTAATAACAGCTAAGATACTGTGCATAACCCCTAAACTCCCAGTCCTCTGGGAGTGTATATATACTACATAAAATCCACTGGGCTGTGGGTAGGATTTGCATGAGCCATCCTGATTAGAACTTGAACTTCTAAGATAAATAACCACATACTGTCCCGATCAAAAGTTTAAGACCACTTGAAAAATGGGGGGGAAAAATCATATTTTGTATGGTTGGATCTTCCAAGTATCTTCCAAGGTGCCAAGTTGTTCTGCGGGCATTGTGTACTGTAGTGTTGTCCTCTTGAATACAATAGAATAAACCTTTATTATCCCACTGATGAGAAATTTGGATGTTACACAGCTCTTATAGCAAGGGAAATATAAAATATAAAAGGAAGACACAAAGTGGTCCTATATGCATGAGCAACTGAAGTTCGTATATACAGGTAACAATGTACAGAAATATGTATAAAAAAATTGCACGGAGATATTTTCTTTCTTCCCCTTGTGCAACATCTCTAAAGTTAGAAATATTCTGTCTCAGAATGACGCTGAAAAAGTAGTTCATCATGCATTTATTACTTCCAGGCTGGACTACTGCAATTCGCTATTATCAGGATGTCCAAAAAACTCACTGAAAAGCCTTCAGTTAATCCAAAATGCTGCAGCAAGAGTCCTGACAGGGACCAGAAAGAGAGAGCAGATTTCTCCTGTATTGGCTTCCCTTCATTGGCTTCCTGTTAAATCCAGAAT